CATTAAAACACTTATAAACATCTTTATCAAGTTGGCAACACGTGCATGCTGAGGCAACATGCTGCAAATTCAGAAAGCGTAACCCAACTCACAATGGAATAGTTTTTAATGATCACTGTTCACAGATCTAACATCAAGTCATCATTTACTTTCTGAGAAATGTGCAGCATTTCTCTGTTTGTAATTTGTGTTTTTTCTATTTTCTGTTTTCTTTAGTTGTTGTGCGTTGAATATTCAGGACCAGTTATCTGTTGGAACAATAATGCAGCTTAAACCATTTTCCAATGTGTGTATTATAATTATATATTCAACTGTCTCTTTACTAGAAAACGTGGCGTTGCGTGGAAAAGCGACCCAATCAAACCGTTATGAGCACGAATTTGGAGCTGCCAGCAGCGCTATTGATGGAAACCGTGACAATAAGTTCGATTCTGGATCGTGCACCCACACTGATAGTTCAAGCAACCCCTGGTGGAGAGTGGACCTGCTGGAGCCCTACATCGTCACCTCCGTCATCATCTCCAACAGAGGAGACAGAGTTCCAGAAAGGCTTCAGGGGGCACAGGTCCACATCGGCAACTCTTTAGTCAACAATGGTGCAAGAAACCGAGTGTAAGACATTTCCTGCACACATTTTATTCATTTGTTTTGTGTAACTGTCTGAGCATTTTGTTTATCTTCTCCTCTCCCCTGTTAATTGCGCACCACCAGTAGACAGAGGTGTATTAAGATGCTTTACTTGAGTAAAAGTACAGATACCCTAGTTTCAAAATATTTCAATGAAAAGTCCTGCATTCAAAATGTTTCTTAAGTAAAAGTACAAAAGTATTATCAGCAGAATGTACTTAATGATTAAATGTACATATGTATGTGACATTTCTAGATATATTCATGCATTAAGAAGCATTTTACAAGTTTAATTTTATTTATATGATTTGACTGTTTTGTGACTTAAAGAGTTAGTCCCCTAGTTTAATTGTTAGAGATACATTTAGTTAAAAGTAGCTAAAGCTGTTTAATGAATGTACTGGAATAAAATTACATTATTTCCGTATTGAAATGTAGAGGAATAGGAATAGAAAGTTGAATTAAAAGTACCTCAAAATTGTAAATGTACTACTCACCTCTGCCAGTAGATTCTCATAGAAACTGTTCCTAAATGTTTCAACCATGTCATTTTACTTATTTGCTTATCAGAAATATAGGCAATGCTGAAGTGCGTTAAACTTGCATCGTCTTTCATATCTCGCAGTGGGTGCCCCCCTGATTGCAAAAAGGAGTCAGATTGTATAGAAGTCTATGATGAAATTACCAGTTACCTTTTATCTAACTGTTGAAGCCTTAGGGGTATAACATGTCATTCATGTTCTTCTTTCTTTCTCACTTTTGTTCTCTTTTTTTTAGGGTTGGTACAATTTCTACAGTAGAGGCATTGACCACTCTGACTTTCACTCATCGTGTGGAGGGACGCTATGTGACTGTGCGTATACCGGGTAATGGAAAGATCCTTAGCCTCTGTGAGGTGGAAGTCTACGGGTACCATGCCCCAACTGGTGAGGGTTTGGGATCTTACATAAATAATGTGTGATTTCCATCTAAACAAGGAACTGTCATATAAGCCAAGCGGCTGAAAAGTTAACTCAATGCAGAAGTCCCTTAAACCTGCATTCTTTCTAAAAGTCTGATTGTGTAGAAGTCTATGAAAAATGTTCCTGCAACTCACTTAATTTATTACCGCTGGAAAGAGTGTACCCATTAGTTTATGATCTCAATTGTTTGTTTCAAGTCTTCTTCAATCCGGCATGATGTTCAAGTTGTAAAATATGGTCCCATTAATAGGAAAAAGAGAAAGGATGTACCAGCCTCTCATGTCACTTATGATTATTAAAACAGGTCTTATTTTATTTCAAGTTTAATTTGCCAAAACTGAATGACACATTTAGTTAGTTAGTTAGTTACTTAGTGCAGTTGTAGTTATATATAACTTTAACTATAGACTCAATATATTATAGACTATAATATTACTTGAATTCCTCTTTTCCAATAACATATAACTTTATGGTACGGCAAATTAAATCAAATACTTTGAGAGTCATGGTGAAACAGTATAATGAAAAACAATCTGCATCAGGAGTCATACATGTTGGTGATTTAGCCTAAATATTGCCGATATTTGTTTTGTTTTTTTGTTGCAGGAGAGAACCTGGCCATTCAAGGAAAAGCCGTACAGTCATCACTGCATGGGTCTCAGTATGCATATAAGGCCATTGATGGGAGTCGGGCCTCCAAGTTGACTTCCTGCACTTTCACGCTCTATGAAAGGAACCCCTGGTGGAGGCTGACTCTGTCCAAAACACACAAAGTGTTTTCTGTTAAGATAACCAACCAAAAGGAAGTCCCCCAACTACTCAATGGAGCCGAGATCCGCATTGGAGATTCTCTTGTAAACAATGGTGCTTACAATCCCAGGTAACTTACAGCCTGTCCTATAACAATACTAATATTAAAAAGTCACTAAATTTGTATTTTGTTGGAACACGTTTGAGGAACAATTATTCAGTTTTTCTCTCTCAAGTTTACCTGGTGCTACATTTTAGATTAACAATCCTTACATTGCCAAGAAATAGGATTGGAGAGGGAATACCCTTCATTCATGAATGATTCCTGCAATGTGTTCTGATCTGATCACAGAAATGGACAAATACCAGGGTCGCCAAATGAAAGGCCTGATCGAGGATCGTCAAATGGGATTCTGTGACATGATTTGAAAACATTTATTTAAACATTACTGAAATATAAATATTGTTCATTACCAAGCCCTAATTAAAAGATCTGCAACCAACATTCTAACCAAGTAAAGCGTAGAAACCTAATAACGCTTTGAGTGCATGTTGAACTTAAAATGAAAAGCCTATTACTTCAACTAACCCTTCCTGAGGTTAATGTAGTGATTTCTGCTTCTTCTACAGGTTTGCTGTAATCGCCAGCATCCCTTCAGGTCATACTGTTGAGTTCAAGGTTCCCAACGGGATGGACGGCCGCTATGTTTACATAGGTATCCCTGGAAGAAAGGGGCTCCTGATCCTCTGTGAGGTGGAGGTGTTTGGCTCTGCACTGGATTAGCATTCAATGTAATGGATTTGCAAAGATGATGTAATGTGTACACAAAGCATCCAAAATAAAATGTGCATCTTAAATGTAATTGTTTGCATAATGTCAAGATTTACTGTTGGAGATTGCAACAAAAGTCTGCCTTGACTTTTGCTTTCACACGGGACTTGTACACCTTTTGGGAATGTGCTTGTCTTATGTCATAAGAAAATAACAGATTTTTTTTTTCTATCAATCATTTAAGAACAGTGAAAGCAATGGTTCTGAAGGCAGGTTTTTTATTTATTTAAATACAGACAAAATAGACAAATATTATGAAAGACATCTGAAAGCTTTCTTACCCAAAGTTAGATCAGAAGATCAATCCCCATCATGTCTGTAAGAGTGGTATCTTGATAACTGAAGGGCCACAGACAATATTAAAGTTCAAACAACTAATGTATGTCTGGAGGCCCAAACAAAGACCAGTTTCCTCTGTATGCCTGAGCCGTTTATGTGTTTCTGTAGAAAGCATTAATAACAAGACTTCCTTTGGCAAAAAATACATTAAGAAAGAAAGAGAACATTTTGAAGGCCGTACAGTTGTATTTAAAAAAGAAATCGGATATTTACAAAAATGTTCTGACAGGGCACAGTTAGAGGCAGTCTACTTGTTTTGCCGTAAAAAACACAACTCTTTCTGTCATTTTATAACTGAATTCAGAATGAAAGTTTGCCTGCTGAAAGCTGAATGATATGCAGTAAAAATTGCATTTCAAAGCTTCCAAACTTAGGAAGAGAATTGTCCAAAGACTCTTAAAACACTGCTGGCCTCTAAAGAAACATTTCAACAACTTTTTAAAACTACAGCAACATGTGGATTAATGAAGTTTAATATAATCAACACTTAAATAAGACTGTAGTTACACCTGGAGTAAATTCACAAGCTACTCTGCAGTACACAAAGTCATTCAAACTAGCTGCACCTTTACCAGCTTTGAGAACACTTTAATGATCAATCATTATAAAACATATCATATATATTATTCTGAAATGGACCAATCTGCACAATGACTACTTTTACTTTTGGTGCTTTAATTATATTTTGAAGCTAATACTTTTTCATATTTTACTTGATAAATATTTTGCATGCAAGACTTTAACTGTAACGGAGTTTTCTTACACTCTGGTACTTCTACTTTTACTTAAGTTGAAGATCCGAGTACTTTTCCCACCTCTGCACACGGCATCATATAAACATATATTTCTCTTACATTTGTAGCTATGAGACAATATATATATATAATATATAATATATATGTGTCAATGTGATAAACTAAATCCTAGTTAAATGAAACTGTTGGATCAGTGCAGTTATCACTCTGTGATTAAAGCAATGGTTGAGCAAACATGAACTCATATGAATGTTTCATCAGTGTGTCCTTAGATAACTACTTGAACCTTGATCTGCTGGCTAGAACTGGGTTCATGTGTCTGGGAGTATACTACATGGTATTGAGTGATTGGATGCTGATCATGATTATTGATTGACTTTGGGGGAGATATCATACAAATAGCTCAGCTTTAAGGATTTTTATCTCCAGACACTTCTTGAAGTTCTGAGATCAAGTAACTTCGAGTTATTTTGTTGGGACAAAACCTCTATTCTCACCGGGGTAAGCATTTCAATTCTCATTCCTACTATTTTATTAAAAAATCTTGTAGGTTTCAAACATTTTGTATTAATATTAATGTTTTGCAGCAGTGGAAGAAATATTCGGCTCCTTTACTTAGGTAAAAGTACTAATACTGCAATGTAAATTACTCCATTGCAAGGAAAATACTGCATTGAGAATGGTACTTAAAGGTGGGGTAGGTAAGTTTGAGAAACCGGCTCCAGATAAACTTTTTGTTATATTCCATGGAATGCTCTTAACATCCCGATAGCAATGAATATCTTAAGTGCTTTGACAAAAAATCCATTAAAAAATGTCATCTGTGGAAGCCGTAGTACTGTAAAAAGCACGACCAATCATTTTAGCCGGCCCGGCTAAAATAACTGGATGGCCTACCTGCCTGTCAGCCTTCCATCTGTGCACAAACTTATCTCGTGCCCTCATTGGTCATGTGCGCGTTCGTGTGTGTTGGAGGAGGGGCTCTATAAGGAAGTGGCAGATTTCTTCCGGTTGGGTATTTTCAAATTCTAGCGCACTCGAGCTGGTTTCTCCAAAATTACCTACCCCACCTTTAAGTAAACGTTTTAAGTATGATATATAAAAACAAAACCTCTAAATCCAAAAAAATCTTCACATTTGAAAAGCTAGAACTGTGAAAGATATTTACACTCACACATTTATTAAACAATTAGTATAAGCAAAAACCGAAATTCTGGTTAATAATCTGGGGAGATTTACTCCTAGGATCAAACAGGAGGTCACAAGTAATGTAATGCACTTTTCAGTGACCTCTCGAAAAAACTACTGACAGACTTCAGCTCATCCAAAACTCTGCAGCTCAAATAATCAGAAACATATTCATGGGGTGGCAAGAGGGTGGCAGGAGATTTTGAGGGGTGGCATCCCCCGGCAAAAGTATATGCTGATTTAATCGCAGTCATATCAATCAATGTTAACTTGGAAATCCACAATATTGATATTTTAACTCAATAACATTAGGTGACATTATTGTGGCACAACAGTGAATCCTTAAAGTGGACCTATCATGCTATATTTGAATAATATATTGTAGGGCCATACCTATATAAGGTATATTTATACGTTTTATTTTTCAAAATACCAAACAGATCATGCATTTTAGCCATGCCTCATTTCGCTCTATTTTGCTGTCCTCCACCGTGTCTTTGCATGCGCTGCAGCTGACCACGCCCCCCTGCAAAGGAGGGGGCCGAGTTACGAGCGTCGTGTTACCATGCTGTTACCATGCCACGGCAACCTCTCATTCCCCTGATAGGTCAGCTCCGCCGTCCTGACGTCAGAGGAATGTTCAAATCTGGATCAGTTTTTATCACATCCGTTGCAGCCCCGTTTTTAGAGATTTGGGTATGGAGGAAAAGAGAGAGGGTTGTGTTTTCTGACACTTGGTGAGCTCCCTGGAACACCGGGGACACATATTCATGTATAAAAAACGTACAAAAGTGCATTTTGCATGATAGGTCCCCTTTAAATATAAATATATAAGGAGGCACACATAATTTAATGAATTTTAAATGAACAATAACTGAATGAGTTTGTTTCACTCTTAGACCAGCAGGGGTACCAAATATATGCAGACTGCCGCAATAAGTACATTAATTAACGGTCTCATCGATGTTTGTCTGAATTAATATGATAATATTAACAATCATATCATTCCCATCAGCTGTAAATCACTTTTATGATTCACATATTCAGTGTTATTATTAAATAAACTATATTTTTTGGAGGAGTTAATGATGAATGTTCCTCAAGATGCTTGCTCACCCTCTTTCAAATTTGAAAGACAAGTAATCACGATCATATATCAAAATTCAAAAGATTCAAAGGAACAGTTCAGTGCCCCACAACTTTCCTGCAAACAGTTACAACCTTGACTTTACATCAGAAAGAACACACATTAAAGAAGTGACTAACTGCATCAGTTAGGGTTAAAAAACGTGTATTCAGCTAAAACATATACATCGCTGCAGTTATTATCCAGTGGAAAGTCCTTACCTACTGGCCTAGTTAAATCAAAGTGGTTACTTTCTGTTTGCTGGGCAGTGTAGTTTTACACACCGTCTTATTTGACTTTCTCAGAACAGTTTTTTGGGGGCAGACCCCCACACAGAAAAACATATATACACACATACAAGGTCATCATCTTAACAGTTTTTTATGCTCATCGAGTCATCCGTGAGCAGAGCATCAAGTTGGCATGCCTATAACAGCGATTACCATTTTTAAGATCAACAGCTTGAGTGCATTTTGATTCAATGCTGAGTACAATCTCTTCTCTGTCATTGTAGAACGCAAATAACTAATTCCTTCCGTCTTGGGTCCGAATGCTTCTCGTTTTGCGCCGTCCCGCCAATCATATTTCCACGCTCGCGCCAGGGCCGGGGGAGGGGTTACAAGACTCGCGTCTTGTGCTGCATTCACTTGCACTCGGACATTAGAGACTTTCTGTCATAAATGTCCGATGAACCACAACTTTCCTTTTAAAACAAAGCTGCCAACTGGGGTGGCAGCTGGGGTGGCAAGCAGTGGCGGCCGGTCCATAGGGGCGCTAGGGGCGCCGCCCCACCTCTTCCCATATTAAAAAATAAAAATAAAATAAAAATAAAAATAAAAATATATTTTAAAAAATATATATATTTTTATTTTTATTTTTAATGAACAAGGTAAATATTATATAATTGGTATCAGTAAAATGTATAATCTACAATAAAATCTCGTTTAAAATTGTGTTACGATGTCTAAAGTTACTGATAAGTCACATGTTTCCTGCCTGGCCTTGCCCGTGTACCTTCTCTCGTCTGGGCGCTAAGAGAGGAGCCCTCAACCAGTGCAGCAGCAGCCACTAGCAGCTGACTGTTGCTATCTGTAACGTGTAAACTATGCCGCGAAAACATAATTTCAGCCAATCAGCGTCGTCAAATATGACGGTCACGGGGCGCCAATGTCAGCACCCCGTGCAGTCTGTGAGTAGTTTGGACAGTGACTCGTATCCGGTTGACGCAGTAGTTGATGAGGATGGCTTCGTGTGCAGGTGGAGTCTCCGGACCTCGGTCCCCGCCTAATTCTGTTCAAGAGCTAATCTCCAATCCTTTCGAAAGGAGAAGTTTGGCAGATAAATTGTTGCTTAAAGACCTTGGACCGGACCAACCCGATTTGAATATATCGCAGCAATCTCGTGAAAAAGACAAAACTTATACACGAGGCTTCGCAAGTAGCTGGTACACAAAAAAGGCTTGGCTAGCTGGATGCAAACAGGTAAATGCTGTCTTTTGTTTCCCATGCTTGGATATCACTTTATATGTAGAGAGGAGGTTTCCCATGGTTGTTAGAAGTTTATTAATAAGTGGGCATTTATCACAGAAGTGATTGTTCTGTCTCCACGTTTGTTGCATTGT